TATGCAGTAGGAATCAAACCTTTTTACCCCGCTCTGCACCACAGTCTGCCTCCTAGTTCCTGTGCTAGGAGCAGGAACACAAAAAAGTAGTTCCAGCTCAGCCAGAGGATGATTTTTATCAGCTCATTTTAGTCAATAAAGAATGGAGTCAATCACTCTTAGAAAACAGCACTTTGCAGTCCTTGTATACCGGGCCGGTACAATCACAGAATAAATCAATAACCACATTAATCAATGCAATGTAAACTGCTGATCTCTGTGGATAAATTGTACTGGTGTAAGAAGGCCCTCAAATAAATCCCAAACCCCCTCAAACTGCATAGGTCTTAAATCTACTGAGGGCAGAGGGACACATGAAAGATCTGCCTCTGTAAAATCTTGAAGATGTTTCATGAAATCCAGGGTGGGGTTTTTTTTTTGGTATCTCACTCTTTGTGTCTCAAAGTTATTCCAATTCATTTTTTAAGGACAGGATAAATCTATAGATACTGAAATATATTGGTGTACATAGAATAGGTTAAGCAAAGAAATAATACATTGGAGTGTTATTAACATGACATTCTAATTGCTACAGCACACACATTTTCAAGTACTAAGTGCTATGAACTGATAAAAAAAAAAAGTTCATACTGAAAAAGCCTGAATGATTGAAGCCATTTAGAAGCCCTTATTGTACCACGCTGTCAAAATGTCCAAGTGACCTTTTCTACATGGTAAATTTAACCAAGAGAGATTTTATACAAGCTATTTTAATAGCAATGTTTTCCCCCCACACACACCTTATAGTTTTGGGATTAGATAATGGTCAAATCAAGAGAAATGCCACATCTTTATACGTACTCTGAAGATGACTGGGGCATTACATGCCCAGTTTTTAGGTAGAGAGATATTTCTGGCATTAAATGAGGAGGTTGGTGGCCCTGCATGTGGCAGGGGGGTGGAGTTTCATGATCCTTGAGGTCCCTTCCAACCCTGGCCATTCTGTGATTCTGAAAGCATATGTACAAATGCACAAAAGCTATACTGTTCTTCCATAACAATCCTTTGCAAAGTGGCAGCTTCCCAATAATCCACTCTCAGTGGCAGAAGGCAGCACGCAGATATCTGAGCCCAACAGAGCCACTCCTCAGGATAAATAATGCAAAGACAGTATTTTCATACTGTCCACACTTGGAAGACCACACTTGTACCAACATTCCAACAGTCCACTACAAATATTATCATACCTCAAACCACATTCACCCAAAGGCCATAGTGGAGCTGCATCTGCATAAAGCAATGCAAGCTTCCAGACAACTGATATTCAAGAACACTGGGATACACAGGATGGTACCTTGGACATACAGATACCAGAGTGTAGGAAAGGCATTAGGGATACTTGTTGTAGGGCAAGATTCTGGATAGCTTTTACCCAGGGAAGTGCAAAGAGCACTTGGACACGAGTTCTCTTTTAAGACTAAATAGATAAAACCTGTATCAGCATCCTCAGCCACCAGCCCAGTGCATGCCAAAGCCTCTCTGAGCAGATTAATTCTGGGTTCTGCACAGCAAATCGTTGTGGGAAATTCTCTGTGACTGCAGTACATTCAGATATTAATAAAATCTTTCTTTGCTTTTGCAATGTATTTATACATAAGTGTGATTTAGAGCTCTGTGTCAAGTCCTCTCTAGCACTGCATTCCAATGACCTGCAAAAAACACAGGGTGTTTCTGCACATCAGGGTAATGCTGATTTAGGGGTTGGTACAATAGCATACACGGGCTATTTTATTTAGTTTCTTGGCATTCATATTCAGAAATTGCTCTATAAAGAAGGGAGGAGGCATTAAAGAAAGTTTAAATGATCTTAAATCACAGTGAAACATTGCATTTGGAACCAACTAAAACATTTGGATAGACTCAAAATTGCTTTTTTTTTTTTTCCCCAGGGACAAATATTTTGTTGATGTATTAAATTTAAAATGAAAATCTGACTGTGACTGTTTTAGTTTTTTGCTACTTTGCTTATGTCATCAAAATATTATAGATATTACTCTTGCTGCTGTTGGAAATATCAGTCTTGTCTTGGATTTTATCCTATGCTCTGAAATCTGGGAGGACTGCACCCAGCATTTCCAGTATAGGGCAAATAAGTGGGGTTGTTTTTCCTTTCCCTTCTCTCATCTTCCTTTTGACTTCTGGTTTTAGGGAATTTATATTTTTATTTTCAAATGTTTTCTATAACTGCAAGTAACAAAACTATTTTTGCAACCTTCCCCCACCCCTTCCAGTCAACCAAACTCTTTCTATCTCAGCACCAGATGTCTTAATAACATTTTATAAAGTTATAACATGAAATCATTCAAGTTGGCTACCTGGCCTTTCCAACACCTCTCTGTAGATTGACGAGTCCAGTTACATTTGGACATCCATTTTAGTGAAACAAACAAACAAAAAAATGATAGGGAAGAAGAGAACATGGGCCTCCACAATTTAACAAACTTCATTTATTTAGAAAGAGTAGAGGGCCATATTATTATTTAATGTTATTCTCTTAAGACTGCTTAGAAGCTGTGTTTTAAGGCACTCTTCTTTCGTTTGAGTTTCTCAACGCTAGGTAAATCTACTTTAGGAAGCACAGCAGCAGAACAAAATAGTGAATTAGATCAATTTAAGTTCTGTTTGCTGAAGTAAACATCTCCTAAGGGAAAGAATGAAAAGATTATTTGCTAGAGCTGCACGTCTTGCTTGGTTTTAGTGGTTATGATGCCAAACACCTTACTCCCCCAGGCAGAAAGGAGAGCACTTGGCCACAATGGTGGAGCAGAGTTCTATGATAGACACTGGCCATATGGTGGCTCATGGAAGAGCTAGGAAACAGAAGCTGTAACCATCAGTCATTATTGCCTTGACTTTTTAAGGGTTCTTCCTGTGTAAGCACACGTGCATATCCCTCAACTGGAAGTCACTAGGCAGAATAGTTACTTGGTAATCCACTTACGTTCCAGCTCTAAGGAAGCTCAGCAAAAGAACAGCTTTATTCAAGTCAGCAATCTTCCAATTCCTAGGGTTTTCCCTTAATTTAAAAGGGGATTCTCCCACGGAAATAACAGAATAAGACAAATGTAGAAATTATGAGGTCAAATGCAGGTAAAGAGCCCGATTTGAAAATTATCTTTTAGAGAGAGAAAAACACCTTGCAAGGAAAATCAGTAATGCATGCAGAACTGAAAACAAATCTTAAGAAAACGTTTCCTTGTTTAGCTTCACTGCAAAGAAAAATATTCCTCGTTAGGGTATTAACAAGATTTCTAAGTACCATATCCACTTCATTCTACGCTGTTCTTTTCTACTGAAAGCTGTGTTAAAGCTCTTCCTAGTAACTCCTGCAATTAGTATCTTTGTAGAAATCTCAGAGGACAGGCTTCTAAAAGCAGCATTATATTTTTAGAACCTCCCTGTAATTAATCATCTATCAGGCCTCCTATACAGTTCCACACAACTGCTCTGCAGAAAATATTTCTTTCCTTGAATGAAAAGAACCTTTTTGTTTAAACTTAGTGAAAGAATCACATTTATGTTATAAAATAAGAGTTAAGTTACATTTACTGAAAAAAAAAAAATACCCCTTGCTTATTGGATGATAGAAAATCTGCATGCAGGCAAGCTGCAATGGCAGCAACAAGCTGCTGCTAGAGACCTGCTGGGATGGAATAATGCAAAAAGCTCTGTCAGAGCTCCACTGCAGTGGTCATCTTTTTGAAACGCTATGTTGAATTCAGTATGAGGATAATTGAATATCATCAGATGCAAGTAAAATTTATTTGTCCACAATAAAGAAAAGCCCACATTTCTACACTCAATTCTGTAGCCACAAGAACATGAAATACACTCTTCTGGCTTTGATAGCATCAACAGAAAAAGCAAATATTTAACAGAGAGTGCAATTCCTAGTGAAATACCTTGTCCTAGGGATTTAATATCCTTTTCATCCTCTGGAGTATTAAATCAAAACTGAACATCGTTTTATAATGCATGCTCTTGCTATGTGTTTATTATTTATGGTTTTACTTTATGTCAGAGCACGCGGAGTTCCCTCAGCACATCCCAGGCATCAAAATTTTGGTAACTTCCCATACAACTTCATATTTTAAGGGCAATATGTATGAAGAAAGGCTGAGGGAGTTGGGCTTGTTTAGCTTGGAGAAAAGGCAGCTCCACGGAGACCTCACTGAGGCCTTTCTGTACTCGAGGGGAGCTTATAAACAGGAGCAGAGCAACTTACTGCACAGTCTGATAGCAACAGGCTTTGGGGGAATGGCTTTACACTGAAAGAGGGGAGGTCTAGGTTAGATGCTAGCAAGAAATTCTTCACTCAGAGCTGTGGACATCCCATCCCTGGAGGAGCCCAAGGCCATGGATGAGGCCCGAGGCAGCCTGAGATGGGGGGGCAGCCACCCCACAGCAAGAGATTGGAACTGGGTGATGTTTAAGATCCCTTCCAACTTGAGCTACCCTACGATTAAGACTCTTGCTTCCACCTTTGCTTCCCATACGTGTGGATGTGAAATATCTTTCATTAAGTTTTTTAGAAGATCATCGTGCACAGCTTAAAGCATATTCTTCTGCTCATTCATGTGCTTACACAGTGCCATCTCCCTTTGAGACCTTTTCTTTCCAGAAGTATTGGGGTAGGGAAGGAATTTGATTAATTTGTTGTTGCAAATGGTTACAAAGATGAGATAACATATTTGTCAGTAATGAAAAGAAAACAGACTTCAGAATGTAGTGGGAAGGATGAGAAGGTTCCCTAGTAGTGATGAGAGACAACAAATACCTTTTACAGGATGTTGTTAAAGCTGACAGCAGTGTGACTTCATGTTTTGAGCTCTATCTATTCACCTGAAAGTCATGCTCACCCTGGTGTTTCATTTGACATTCTGATAACTCAATAGATTGAAGGGTTTAATTAGATGCTTTTATTTATATTTCAAGATGATGAAAATCAGTTTTCTTCTCATTTCCCTTCACATCCATACCAGAAATGAATCTACACTTTCAACCTACAGTGAAGAACAACAGTACCAGCCGAAGGAGAAATAAACATGATAGAAGACATATGTTTTAATCTCCCCTTTAAAAAAATTGTTGATCAGAACAGCCGTTGCATCAAACAACCTTTTAAAGCATATATCTCAAATCATAAAAGGTTCCACCTTGTCCAAACCTGATTCAAGGCTTGCTGGTTCCATTGAAACTCCTTAAATTCAAAGGTTTGGGGTTGGTCCATATACCTCCTTTTAATTTGGTGTATCATTTCAGAAGAAAACAGTAAAGTATTGTTCTGCTCACAAAGAAGCAAAATTGCTTTTGACAGGTTCTTAGAAATACCAGCCAAAGCATTCACAGGTAAAGCCAACAGCCACGTATAGAAAAAAGAACCAAAAACTCACCCAGTTGGGGAAAGGGATCCCTGTTTGTGCAGCCCAGGTCCAAGAGATGCCCTCCTTGCAGCAGCTGGCCCTTATCTGAGCCCAGGGGGCCTCTACCCCTTCTGGTTAAGTGGAGAGCACATGTGCAAACAATTTGCTGTGCTGTCTGGGCCAGGCAAACCCCTTCACCAGGTGTTCAATCACCAGTCAAAGCCCTGAACTAACAGTTCCCCTACAAATATATTTCATAAAATGCATTCTATGGTAGTTCCTGTAATACAAAAAGTAAACAACTAACTGTTATTTATTTGAAATGCTTTTGGTGGTTTTTGTTTAGAGGTTACATTGCAGAACGTGAGATAATTAATATCCACATCACGAGCAATTTCAAGTCTCTTCTCAGTTTCCTCCTGGCACAAATCTTCCACGTTTACTATACCATTAAATTGGAGTTTCAGTAAGAATTAGTAAAAAAAAATTGAGATCACTCTTTTCACAATCTCCAGTTATATTTTGTACCACTCTATTTAATTAAAGCATATACATTTATCTACGAATTTCAAAGCTTATATTTTTAAATTAATGCATTATTAATATTTACATTTCCTTATATGTGTACAATCTCTGTCTCCCTCCCCCATCCCCACTATTTTTCTTTACTGGAAATTTTGGTTGTGATAAACTATTAAGACAGAATCTACAGGTAGCTCAATTTTTAGAGTCCATTGCTTCAGTCATCAAGGAAGGGAGTATATAAGAACAAAACTCAGGAGTAGGATCCCAGATGTCAATATATACAGTTCTCTTGGAGACAATTTTATTCCTCCGGAGCTTAAACCTGTAAAGATATAAGCATAAAAATAAGGAAATTTCTGTCCAAAAACATTTTCCTATGCAGTCTAGTCTAACAATGCTCTTTTTAAAAATATCTGCAAAATAAAATATCCAAAAGATGGCTGCTTCTTTTTCACTTTTAAGTTGTAGCAGCAATTCTAGGAAGTTTTGAATGGCCTTCCCATGCCCCCATATAGATAACTGCTGCTTGCAGGAGGGTTTGGGTTGGTAAGTTATAACCCAGGGTTCCATTCTGCATGAGTAATAAGAGCAGAGCCTGGGCACCTGCACTAGCTGTGGAGTGCAGCTGAGGAGCTCTACCTTGGTGTATGCAGCAGCTCCAGATTGGATTAAAATCTGCAGTGTATACAAAAGCTGCAGAGTTGAGTTCAGTAAGAAAGCTTACGTCTCTGAAAAGCATTACAGATAAGGTCACATCTAGGTGTTGTGAAATAGTTTCTCCACTAATGAACATGGGAAAACTGGAGACCAATCTACGTTCCCCCAGTAGTACAAAGGGAGGTCAACAGTGGTAGCAAAAACTCTGTTAATCCTTTTTAGAGGCACACAGATTTCTTATTACACGCTGATATTCAGAGAAAGGAAATACAGTATCTCATGTACTTGATATTTTTGGGATCCTGATTTCCTCGCTGCTGCTGCCATCCCCACCATCACTGATGGTTCTTATTTCTATGAGGTAATCTTCTTCAGATGGCACCAGGAGTTCAGCTGAAGTGTTGTTTGTCTCCAGTATATGAGCTTTGCTGTGTCTGTTTTGTCTGTACAAAATCTAAACAAAAAAGGATTAGAGAACAGAGGTTACTCGATTACTTCAACTTTTATGTTGTTCTTTACACGGCTGAGAAATGAAAAGACAGAAGTTTGGACAGTAGCATCTGGGTTTCTACTTAGCACGTTTCTGCAATTAAATATGATGGACCCAGTGCCTGCCTGCACATAGGTCTCTGATTTTTCTCTGGGACAAGGTGTGGAGCAGCCCTGAGTCCACATGCCCTGGGGAGATGGAGATCCTACAGACTGTGATCAGATTGGGCCTTCTAGAAGCCTTTCTTCTTTATTAGCACTTGACAATTGACAAACTTTTTACATAGTTATGATAAAAAGAGCAATTGAAGAGCAAAGCAGAAGGAGAAATAGAGTTAATGGAGATTGTACAGAAAATATTGTGTCGAGTACTCACAGCACTCCCTCCACAACAAAATATAACAGGCAGTTATAACTGAGAAGCAGATATGCTAGATACAAGGGAAAAGAGCTTAAAAGTCTGATTTTAATGTCTTCCCCAGTGTGTGGGGCTATTCAAGCATGCTAACTAGACTGTAAGAGGATGTGATATCAAGAAAAATTACAAGGTAGAATATTTTTTCTGTCCTTTTCCTCCCTCCATCGTTCATAGACACTTAAATGCTGAGCAACACAAGGATCTTGATCCTGACCACCTTTCCCCATTTAAGTGCTCTCCAAAGCCATTCTGACCACTTTTCAGGTTTTTCAGAAAGTCTTTGGGGGTTAGAGACACTGGAAACAAACTTTAAACTAAATGTTCCTGTTCTTAAAAAGCAGATTTATAGAACTGTTTTTTACTTCACCCACATTGATTTTATGTGGGTTTCTTCCTTTCTATTTTCAAAGTTATGATTATGAATCGTCAGAGTAAGGACTTTTAAACATATTTTATAACATCTCTTTAATTCTTAAGAGGGTGTTCTCTATTTCTTAAAGGCGTGTGTGAAACTCCTTCAATGCAAGAACATTATTCAAGTAAGATTACAAGGGAAAAGGAACAAGAGGAGTCCAGTAATGGGAATAGAAAACTCTCGTGTTGGAATAAAGACCTCCAACTCCAAATGAGACATTCTTCCTTGCCTTGTATAAATGTCAGCCAACCATCCCAGTGACTCCAGAAAATTCACCTTTTCATGAGTAATGAATAGTCACATTCCAACAACTCACTTTTTTCACCTCTATTAAAAACAACGTGTATGATTAATGAGATAAAGCAATGACTTACTTTGTATCCTAGCACCTCTGATTCATTCTCCATTGTTTTCACGTGTTCCCAATTCAAGCAGATTTTGGAATTTGTCAGTTTCCATGCGATATTTGCTGGAGGTTGACTGGGAGCTTTAAAAAAAAAAAAAAAATGATGATGATAATCACAAGATACAACTTTATATTACACAATCACAAGATACAACTTCATATTAATTTGCATAGTGTAATTGAATGAGACTCTGACATGGAAGTAGCAAATGCATGGGTGATTCAAGTCTAAAAGAGTGAAAAATATTTTCCAGTTCATCATTGCTCTCTTATTAGTCAGAATAAAGATCTATTCATAGCATAGAACCACTTACTGTGAGTTCATTTTGGAAATTAGGCAAAGCCTGACAGCGCCTGACAGTTCAAGTTACATTTGATAGATTTTATTTAAGTATTATGTTGTTCCTATCTATCTTTTAATGGACTAGAGAATGTTTTGCTGTATGGATTTCAGAAAAAAAGTTGAAACTAGGAGCAGAATACAAAAGGCTCGATTTTCATCGGCCATGAGAATAGGCTACAAAGAGTTACACATTAAAGTCTCCATGTGATCCATCATGAAACGTTGCAGGATTTTATAAATTCTCAGTATAATAGGCCGAGGGTAGATTTTCAAAGGGTTTTTATGCCCAAATGCCAGGACTTTGAAAATTTGCCTACGAGTGACAGAAATCGAATCCTGTGTGAACATGTGAAGTTGAAACTGTGCCTTTGAACTGACTGTCTCAGATTTACATCATCTCCATCTCCATGGTGTGCTCCCCAAATCCTGCCTGGGAGGAGAGTGCCAGGGGTGTCAGAGGAAGTAAGGATTTGAAAATAATTGAGAAAAGAGAGGAGAGATCTGGAGAACGGGCTTCTGGTTTGTAAAGGTCCCAGGCCTGACTTTAAAATGTTAAACTTCTGGGATTCTTCTTCACTCCCAACAATTCCTACATCCTGATGGTTAGCATACATAACTCAGGAGGCACTGCAGACTTGGTAATACTCCATCATCTGTTTATTTCCCACACAGAGAGAATGAATCAATGGTGTTTGTTGTTATGTATCCATCTGCTTCTGGACTGTGGAGAAGTTTAATCCACCTCACTGTCTGGAAAAGGAGGTGTTACTGGGTCACTCAGGTGAATCTAAGCAAATATCCTTCCATGAACTGTAAGTCCATACTGGATAAAGATTTTTTTTTTATTTGAATGCATTTAAATACATTCACATGCATAAAACCACAAATTTACTTAATTTTTGTTTGAAACTTCTTTGCTGCTTTCATCAAATGTTTTAGATAAGGAATTTGGACACAAAACATTCATAAGATATAAAAGATGTCAAATTTTTAATTGACTGGCTACTTTGGAAACAGTTTGACGCCCTCAAATATGGGTGAACATCATCTGATTCAAAATCTTTTAACATCATAATTAAAACCATCTAAATTCCCAAACTTTGGGTTGAAAAAAACACCACTGGGTGATTTCCTAAGCTGAATTATCCAGTTTACATCTACAGTCAAGGACCAGAATAGGCAGTACTGGACAGCCCTTTCCCAAACCCACAGTGATACGCATAAACAAGAACACTGTGAACAGCTCCTTAGATTTAAGATGACCAATCCTTTCCACAACTAACTTCTTATCAACATTATCAAGAACATTTGATAGTCAAGTTAATGAAGTTACTCATGTTTTAGGAAACCCTCGCAGGTTTTTTGAGTTGAAGTTTAAAGTTGCAAAGTATTTCTAATACGTACATCTGTTGAAATATGCACTAGTAATTAAAAAGCAGTGAAATCCCTTAAAACAATGATGACACATAAATAAAATAAGCAGAATAGCTGAGCCTTGTGACACTTCCTTGTAGAGCAGTATACATCATTTCTACCTTCCTAAGCAGTAAACTTACACCGCGATATCAACTTAGACATTAAACTGATCTTAGATAAGTACATTTCAATCAGAACTGCACCTATTTGGCTGAAGGCCCATTGTACTTTTAAGTTTTGCTTAGTCTATACAATAATGCCACGTATAGAACACTAGGAATCTTTGGCAATGAGTGTGAACACAGAGCTATTTGCTTGAAGCCAAAGCTCCTGCTGTATCGTTTAAATGCTCTTGATGTACTATCTCTTCTCATATTGAAAGTGCCTGCATCTTTCAGAAATGAGAGCTTAAAATTTTAATATACGTTTTTAAGTATTAAATAGGTTGTTTTGACTTTAATTTTTAAGTGAACTATTAGCACCATCCTGAGTTTGACAGAAGATGAAATCAATGTAAATCAAAATCAAATTTGTCCCGTTTTTGTTTTGCTTCTTGACTGATGTGTCATCTTTTCTTTCATACAAATATACATACAGATACAGACAATCATTTCCAGAGATGAGTCCATTTTACATTGCCTGTGAGAAAAGCCTTCCTTGAAATTTTACAAAATATTTTCTTTGGCTTTATTTTGACTACATTAAATTTTATCATGAACTCATTTAAGTAGTCAGCTCCTGTCCAGCACTTTCAAGTAATAACCTAGAGTAAATCATGGATAAGAGGACAAATGAGGAGAGACAGAAGATTCCTTTTTTGTGCAAAAGTGTTGATAAATTGGGAAAATGTAGTCCACTGAAAGTATAAAAAAAGTAGGGCATGTGGGTATATAGCAGATTAGCAAGATTTCCTGTTTTATGACTATTTCACTGTTAGTGAGCGTTTCCTTTACAGGTTCTATCCTGCAGAACAGCACTCCTGTATTATCTCAGAGGATGGCCCCATGAAAGCCTACATTTCACATAGCTTTTAATCTCACAAGTAGAAAAGCACATGTTTTTGCTTCTAAAATTGCAAGGAATTTAAGCGGTTACTGATTAAATAGCATTTAAGTGAATGTGCCACATACATTCCCCTCCGCACGGCACAACTTAGAGGACCCCAGAAATATCTGGAGAATTTAACAGTTTCCTTAAAAGAAAAAGAATAATAATAAAAAAATAGAAGCCATAATCCCATACCCAAATCTACAGTTTGACCTGTGGAATATCTTTCCTTAATTGACTTTGAATCTCTTTTGAAATTTTCTGAAAGCAAGTGGCACACTGTTGCATTTGAAAAGAAGATCCTTCCTAATTGTTGCTACTGCCGTAGGAACAAAAACACCCGTATTATCCAGTTTTGCAAGTGTAGAGAATTACCTGAGCACATACGCAGAATAGGGTAAAAGAAATCGGGGCTGATTTCAGTCACTGGGAACTGCAGCTTCCACTGAAACTGAACTGAACGCCAATCTAAATACTACATTAACATCTTGCATACCAGAATCTGAACAAACTCAACGTTGACCACAAAATTAGGAAACAAAGAAGAGACGGAGAAGTTTCTCAGTCACAGACTTCACTGCTTAATTTTATGAAGAAATTTGGGATCCCATTTTCCTCAGTATTGCAACATTTAGCAAGCTGGGTCATGGTAAGCTGAAATGTCACTATCCCACCTGGGAGTCTGCAACATTTGTTGTATAAAATTGAATACTCACGTGACTTTTTAGTGGTGACATTTACTGGGGCACTGGAGGGTCCCATCCCTGCTGTGTTGTAAGCCCGAACTGTTGCAAAATACACTGTGTTAGCTTTTAGGCCTGTGATATTTTTGGCTGTTACGTTCCCATTGACTCTGACTTTACCAGCTGTGCTTTCCTTCGGATCATCGGTCCAATATAAAACCTGAAAAGCCAAAACAAAGAAAAGGCAATTTATTGTTTTATATCAATTACAGGTTTGGCTGGCAAGTAGACAAGCTGCCACTGAAGATTTCAAGGAATACTGGATTTTTCATACTGGATTTTTCATATACAAAACTAGCAGGAAATAAAACCAAGCATGGATATTTATAGAGAAGAAATAAAATTTCAGAAACAGAATACAAATTAAGAAAGCAAATGAAATCCTTATAAAAGTCCAAAAGGAAAACTTTGATAACGTGAGATATTTTAAAAGCTTTTTGGTTTTAAAGTTTGAACAGATTTATTAAAAAAAATCATTAAAAGATACAAAGAAACACTTATCTACATCATCGAAGAGGATTTTAATTATTTTGTATCCTGTCTAATTTTCTCTCTGTGACAGCCATTTAGCCATTCTTTGTTTTTTAATGAACATTTGATTTGGAAGGTTTGGGTATTACTACTCGCTGTAAACGGGGGAGAAGCTCAAAGCCTTTCAAGCACACCGCAGCAGAAGCTTTGGTTGGCAATAATGTGCATTCTCTTCTGTAAGGTATGATGGAGGTCCTGTGCGTGTTTGCTAAATATCAACTTCTCCCATCGTGCTCAGGCAGCCCTAAAGCTGTGTAAGAGGAGGGAGGATCAACCTTGTTTTGTGGAATGAAGAACAAGCACAAGTCCTTCTACAGTGGCCATCACAAATGATTAATCTTGAGGTTTTAATTTACATTACAAAAAGGCTGGGTGAGAACTGCAGTCCTGCTCTGTAAATGCTTGTGATTATCTCAGGTGAAATGCTGCTAATGAGAGTCAGGTGAAGAGCTGCATTATCTGCTGACTTGGCAGCAAGGAAAGAAAAACCAGAATACCAATGTTGTTGGGGAAGCGATGTCTGCAAAGTGCCCAATCCCAGCCCCAACCCCCATCCCACCTCAACAACAGCAGCAGCAGCTGCTACCTCACCTCATAGCCCAGCACCCTGCCTGTGTGTCTGTTCCACGCAATGGGCTGCCAGGAGACCTCCACCTCTGCCGCAGAGATGCTCAGTGCTGAAGTGCCTGCTGGTGCTATCTGTGGCTCTGGATTGGGAGAGAAAAGGCAGCAAGCGGAGCATTTGTAGTGTCAGAAGGGTGTTGCATCAGAAAATTAGAGAGATTCAAGAAAAAGTCAAGACTTTTGGTGGAAGCAGCCCGGAGAGGATTGGGAAACCTGGTGTGAATCTTTATTTTGCTGCCCGTTTATTGTGGAACAGTAGCAAAACTGTAATTTTCCAAAATTGGTCATAACCTGTAATCTGGGACAGATTTTTAGAGATCATCTGTACTGAGTGGTCTGGGCTATATAAATAAAATGTTCTGAATGTCTCCTGCTTTTTCTCATCCTGCTTGGTGGGAGCTCCTGAGACAAGTGTATTCAAACATGCCATCTACTTAAAGTAACTCTGAAAATCTTTTCCTTGCCTTTGTTCCCTCCAAATCCCCATCCTCTGTCCTGTGTCTTCTGAGAATCTGCAATGAGCAGCTTTGAACAGATTTCTTGCCACCCCTATGGAGATCCGCATGATCACACCTGGGACCTGTAGGCTCTACACTGCTAGTAAGAGTAACACACTTTACCATCTTCTCCAGAGTAGACGATGGATATGGAGCTCAGGGTCCCTTCTCCTTCATTGTTGTAGACGCCAACTTTCACTTCGAAAGGAGACAGAGGTGTAATGCTTTCATTCCTATACACATATTTACTTGCTTCTACGGGAGCCACTGCTGCTTTTGTCCACGTTGTTGAGCCAAGAGGACGAAACATAACAATATAGCCAAAACCACCTCCATTTTGTAGTTCTTCTGGCACCGGCTGTAGTGACAGGGCAGTCAGTCAATAAGTATTTGCAAGTATACACTGTTTTAATTGAATCTTCATTTTCTCAGAATATTTTAGGAGTATTGATTCAGTTGACTGTGCCTTAGAGAAGATAATAATGTTTGCTCCATCAGTCAATGTAATATTGAAATAAAAATCAAAATAATAAATCTATTGAGGCAATCAATTTAGAAACAAAAGATCTGATCAGCTCCATTAAAGTTATTCTCTTTCAGGCATGAAGTTTTCAAAATTAAAAGCAATTCACTCAGCACAGTTTATAGCTGAAATTCTTCCCCCAAGGGGCGTAGGAACACTAATTTTAAATGATTTTAAAAGAAAGAAAGAGATGGGAAAGGAGCAAATGTATGTAGAGGCACATGTCAGCTGTATAATTGCTTGTGCATATGTAGAGCATATATTTTTTTAGAACAAGGGAGAGTTTGGAGTGCACGAACGTTTTCTTATTTAAGTTTGTTTAGAACAGAAATGTTATTGCAAGCTAACATGACAAAATTAATGTTTCTATTAATAAAATCTCATGTCAAGATATGTATTAATGACTCATACTGAACAGGCAATTACATCGAGACTGTATCCAGAATGAACACTTCTATTTTCTTGGGAAAAAAAAATACTTCTATGCTGGCTTTTCAAAGCAAGAGAACATTTGTAAAACAAGAAAAGAACAGCAGTACATGGAGGAAGGAAGTTTTGCCAGCAAAATTTCATTTATTTTGGATGCTTTCATCAAAGCAAGGTGCCCAGAAAAACAGCCATGAAAAATGGTACAAAGGGCAGAACTGCTGCCCCTGAGGTTGGTCCTGGCTCCTCCATCAGGAGTGCTACTGGTGTGAGAAGGTGGGAGGGAAAAATCAGGGAAACATCAGTCGATTTCAGAGCACTGAATTTATTTATTTCTTCATGAATTACTTTGAATGTGATAGTAAGATTGTCAGATTATAACCCTGGTATGACATACTTAACAAACGTTGTCATCTCTTAGGTGTTTTACAGGCATTAATTCATCCATCTGCCCCCTTCTACTTCCTATCCAGAGCCAAGAGAGTTAAAACTGAGAGCTGAGGGTGCAGTGGGGATTGATAAGAGCTCAAGCTACTTTCCAGAACATTTAGTTTGTTTTTGAGGCTTCTGTGACCTCAGATTTAATCAGAATGTTTAGTGAGTTCATCAGAGAAAGCCAGAGAGTCATATCCAGTGTTGTTCACTTATTAATTAGTATTTTTTCCGACTATTTTTCAGGACACGCCATGGAGTCCACCAGGATAATTTGATTGAGATCTCTCAGGCTGTTTTTCAATTTTCACATTATGCTCCCAAAGAATAGATTGGTGGAGGAGAAGATGAAACACAACAGAGAAAGATGCACATGGAGGAAAACTCAGTTCAGTAAAAGCAAAGTTTCACTCTGTTTGGAGAATGGAAAGGGGAAAGCATGGCACTATTATTTATCTTGTGGAGATTCTGGATTTCATTTTTTTCCTCTGTCACTTCCCTTCCTCTCACATTGGTTAAATGGGAAAGTCATCAGCATACAGGACAACACAGGTAGATCATTCAGCTGATGAATAACATCACTTTTAAAATTAATTAATTTCTTTTCCTGTAAACTATGGACACAAGGTTGGCTTTTCTTTTGAAAAATAATGAAGTCGAGGAAAAGAACAGTTTTTTTTTAATGAATTAACATTTTCCATGGCTTACAAAAGGAGCATGGTAGTTTTGAAGCCGTGGCCCCAGTTGAGAATTAAATGAAGACCAGGTGCAGCTCGAGACACACAACTTTAAAGTCATGAAAAACACAGAGGTTGGACATTGGTTGTTGGCCATTTCATCAGGCTGGAGAAGGAGGGCTGCTTCCTTCTTTCTGCTCTCCACAATGACCTGCACTCCCTCACTGCAACTTCCAGGATGGTGCTAACGGTTCTGAAATTGTATATTCTCTCCTCTTGCTGGAGTGCTGGAGAATTAAAGGGTTCATCTCCTTTAACACATAATAGGATATGCCTTGTCAGCACAGTGCTCCAGAATGAAAAACATGTAAACAAAAGTATGAAAAACGTTAATGCAGAAAATGGCCAAGCAGATTAGTGTGTTAAGCACCTCCTGTACAATGGAGATAAGAGGGTTATACAGACTTCTAAACATCTTTATAACATGCTTCTTAAGCTGTTTATTTTTATAAATGGTTCACTATACCACAGAAAACTTGCTGTGTATCTTACAGACTGTTTCTTCTCCAGATGCAGGATGAATCTCAGGCTCAGCCCAAGCCAATAGCTGAAAGTCTCTGAATTTCAGCACAGCTGTGATTGTGCCCATAGAATCCCCCATCAGACAGCTCAAGTTAATTGAGTTACCAATTACCTCCCACGTGATGACCAGCTCAGAGCGGCTCCCTCCTCCTCCGCTGATGTTCGTTGGTGCCACTGTGGGAACTGGAGGACAAAAAACATCAGGGCTGCAACAGCCACCACTGCTGGGGGTCTCCTCAACTGCAAGAATAAAGCTTTCCTCTCACATGCAGCTACTCTGCCACTCAACATGTGCAACAAGGGCTGCGTTCTATTACAGTGCATTTTAAGTGAACCGAAATGATGTTTGCACATTTTCAGGTTTTTAAGGCTGGAGCCACAGATGTATTTGATACATGAGTACCCTGGTTCAAAAAATTAATTAAAGAAGCTAGTAGCATCAAGTATCTGACATTATTATGCCTCATCAACTAATTGGCAAAATGCTGTTCCATTCAGACTGTAGCTGCAACACTACTGATTTACTAATTATGCATTTGTTCGGTAAACATGTTGTTGGAGCAATATATTAATTTTTTTTAATTGGCTGCATGCTTTCCTTAGGAAATTCAAAACTCATAATTTGCTGTTCTCCTTCTGCCAGGATTGTAAGAGACCCAATGTGCATCGATTGGAGCCTGATTTCCCCAGCGGTGCTCCAAGTGTGTGGCTGCATAGGTCCATGGTTGAGGTCAAATATGTTGCTGTTGCGGGCTGAAGGGACTTTCATTTGTCTAATGGCTCTTGGTGGAGAGGCCAAGAAAGTATTTCTTGCCTCTTGCTCCATATCTCAATACCCATACTCACCTCATCAGCCTATAAACATTTCTGCTTTCTGGATGCTGAACTGTGATGTGATGGATGGGATTTAGACAGAGCAGCTTTGTTCCTATAGTATAATTTGCAATAAATTTACTTGTGAGGATGATGTAATGCTGTTTTTCTGCTACTGGAGAAGTATAAAAAGAAAGGGACAGCTGCACAACTTACAGAGGCAAAAACCCCCATAAGAGGGCATCTGTATTGTTTACCACCTCCAAACCTTTGCTATTATTTCCTGATGTTTCAAGATTGTTCTTACCTTCAGTCAGCTTCCACTGCCTAAAAATGGTGCTGAGATAAGGCCAAAGCTTTTTCAGCAGCTCTGGCAAGTTTTGCCATGATTGCCCATCCTTCCTCACGTCTTCCTGGTGTTAAGCACAGCTACAGGAGGAGCAATAAAGGCAACAGCAGTTCACATTCCCAGAAAGGTTTGCGAACTGGCTGCCACTTCTTGGCTGAAACCCCCATCTAAATCTTTACCTGACTTAATTCTCTCTAGAAAAGTAGAGATTTTAAGGTGATTTTGTTGTGCACTCAGAAAAGAGAGTGAAGGTGCAAATGGACCTTTTTTGGGGAGTTCAGTGCAGGTGTTCCATTTTGTCACTCACAATCCATGTCTTTGTGCACATCAGAGATAAATAAGCTAAGACTGAAAAGAACATTAAAGGAAAAAAAGTAACAAAATGGATATTCAAGATTACTACTTTGCTGTTTTATGAGTCAGCTTAGACAAATTCAGATCATGTCTTAAATGTATTCAGCACTTACTACTTCTGCATGGGAAAAAAACTGATACTAGTGCTCAGCAAAGCCTCAGCTGGGCCACAGGTGAGAAACAGATGAAAAATTACAGTTGAGTGCACCAGAAGAGCCTCAATTAATTCTCTTCTCCATCTTAATGGAACAAACGGTGGCTCATTTGCACCCACAGCTCTACTAATACTTAGATTCTAGCTGGCAAAATAGCCACTGTAACAGCAAAGTTGAAATTCTCCCTTCACTGCTGGTCTTTTGCTCTCCACACAGTGGTGCTGCATGCAGTTCCCTATTCTATTAAAAAATTGAAGACAAGTGTTACTCCTACTACACAAAGAGATGCTTTGAGGCAGAGCAATGGACAGCAGTGAAGGGATTCAGTAAAGGAAACCTGATGTGAGTCTTTCTGTTCCCTTTGCTGAGCTTCGGCTTGCACTAAACTGTAAGGAAATAATGTTCCTTATGCTACTGCCATGATAAATAATAGTAATTTTATTGTTTTTTTCTCTTTCTAGCCCCAGCCTGGTGAATCCTCCCAATAAAACTGATGAGAGCTGTTACTGATTGCATAGGTGGTTTGCAACACCACACTTCACAAAGCCCCAAGGCAACATCAGTGAGAAAGACCCTCTCAAGACTAATTTTGACTCCATGATCAATTGTGTGTTGGAAAGCATATATCTGTGATGCTCTGTGGGGAAATATAGAAAATTCAGCCTCTTCCTGTCTGAAGCTTTTCTTTAGCCTTCCGTTTCCACACTGCCCTTATTTCTCCCATGTGAAAGCTTCCTGGGGTTCTCCTGAGAGAGGAATGGGTGCACATCCCCTCTCCACCTGAGCACAGGATTGGTCCCTGCTGCAGGCTGACAGCTCTCCAGCCCTGTGCTGGTGAGCAGCCTGCAACCCTCTGCATTGCCATACTGGCCAGGTGGTCCTGACTGCTAATGAGCCTCATTTGATTTCTCCCTCTGCACCTGGCAAGCAGACAAAATCTATCAAAATTGGTGTTCTAACATTCAAATAGTTTTTTCTGGCACCAGTAATCAGAAGCATCTTTTACTTCAACAATAGGAAAAAAAAACCAAACCCTTTCTTATTAAATTTAAATCAACTGATTTAATACATTTTGAAGTAATTCTGTCTTGGGAAAAATATGGCAGGTAGACAAATAATGTGGTGGGTATTCTGAGAAGTAGATGGATCTGCCTCTTCAAGACTGTATGCGCTTAAATTGCTCCAAAAGAAATGCCTCCTTTTTATGGAAAATACAACAGCTACAAAGAGCACAATAAGACTACTTGATAGAGCAACATCTCACGTAAAAAAAAATAATTTCAAGACAATCACTGCCTCTAGCTATGTATTTTTTGCCTGTGATGAACATGAGCTTGCATGTGCTCATCAAAATCTACACCAGCAGAGGTGACCACTGTCACCATTGCTGTTGCCACTGCTCAAACACACCACCCACCCTTCGCTGTGGTCACATGCACTGTTTGTCTCCATAAATGTTCAGCAAGCATAAATGAATGTCAGTGAGTGTCATTTTTTCTGCATTTCACAGACCTTTGCTTCATACACACCATTCCGTCAGACTGCTCCTCTGCTGCCATCTGCCACATGGCAATAAAATGTAACAGAATACTGGTGGGAAGGTTCAACCTCTGCTGCCATACCACCAACATCTGCCTCTGATATCATGGAGCAACATAATAAAATAGGAGGCATTACTTTTGGAGCAGATCTCGCATTTTCTACTGTATAATCTACAGTATTAAATTTTGAGTTCAGTCTTGAAATGCAGCTTGCCAAGCTTCAGCACATGGCAAATGAGATAAAAAGAGAGGAGAAAGTGGATTGTAAAAGCTGCTTCCACTTCACTGCTCTCCATCCTACAGGTGTTGGTTTTATGGGTGGGAGAGAGTTGATACTCAGGGGGCTGAGAGAAACATAAAACAAAGCAAAGGTTTGAGCTTCAAATAAATTGTACCAAACAGAGAAGGTTAAAGGACTGACAGTGTTGGTCATCCAAGAATGAGCTTTCTTCCCATGAGGTTCCAAGTCCCGGAAGATAAATGTGTAAAGGTTAGACAGACTGATAGGAAAGATCCTGTTCTGGAGTCAGTAGAAGCTATTAGCCTCACTGGGCTTTGGATGTTGTAATTTATTTCCTCCAGTTAAAGCCAATATCCTGTCTCCACTGATGTTCAGATATCAAGCAGCCTAAGCAGCAAAGGCTTTATGTGCCAGAGAGCTGGCTTTATCATTTTTTGTTCAAGTCTCTGAGCAGAGTATAAGCACAGTTATAACAGGAGGAAAACAGAAGTTGCTCCACAATTGCTTCAATGAAAGCTTGCATTCAGGCATGGGCGTTAGACGCAGTTGGGGGTGTATAAAAGCACAGCCCAGCTCCAGCCTTTATTGCTGGCTCAGGTGATTTTGTAGCTGGAGAAAAATGCACGTGGTATCAGGGCATGTCCAAGCATCACTCGCATCAGTATTGCAGGTCAAGGAGACATAAGAGCCACAAATCGGTAAAACACCAAAGAGGTATTTAAGAAACTCTGAAGTAGAGAGGCTTTGCTTCCACAAACCTCTCACAGTAGCAAACAGGCAATGTACCTGTGCTGAAAAACCTAAGAGAAACCAGGGATTTACCTGCTGCTTTGGTTTTCAGTAGAGCTGATGGCTTGCTTGGCTCCCCAGTTCCAACACTGTTGCTGGCAACCACACGGAACTCATACTCAACCCAAGGGCTTAAGTCAACCACTGTTGCTTTATGAGTCCTACCATTGAGGACTTCAGGAACTAAAAGTAAAATAAACATGTCAATGAAACAATATTTTTGGAGTAATTAATGTTATATGCATAAAATACAAGGCAACTCTCAAATCATTCACCTGTTGAAACTGCCTGCCATCCAACTGAGAAAGGAGTCCTTGTCTGAATGCTGTAGATCTGGACTGGACTATTGTTATCTATTCCAGATTTCCAGGATAACACAGCAGTAGTGCTAGAAATATGTTCAACTCTAACATCCTCTGGTGGGCCTGGGGGACCTAATGCAGAAAATATTTTAAGATAAATGTATTTAAAATAGAAGACAACGGCTGAGGATAATCAAGAGTGCAAGGTGGTACCTTGTACAGACATCTGATTTCTACTAATGGCTACAGGATTTGCTCCCATCAAAGAATTTCTTTTGCTGTTGACAGTAGAAGGATTAGCTAAAATTTCAATCTTATCACTTAGTTGATCATAGAAAGTGATCTTTCATATTATCTCCAAAGAGTGGAAGATGACCTGGTCTCTTGATTTTTGCCAGCCTACATCATGACCCAGAGATGCCCAGCAAGGAGCAGGTGACACCATTCTTTTGAAAGAAGAGCACTTCCCTATCCCCTGCTCTGCTGAACTGCATAGCAAGAAAGAATAACCTCCAAAAAAGGCCAAGGCACAATTGCACGGATCTCCCACTGAGTTACCGAGATCTTAGACTGTCATCCTAGCACTTTTTAAACAACAGCTGATGCTAAGGAATACTAATTTCTCCAGAAGATATGTGTCTACATTTAATAAACATACCTCTTACAATTATATCTACTGCTGTAGATTGACTGTCTAAGGTTGTTTGCACCATGCACACATATTTCCCAGTATGATGAAGTTGAATATTTCTTATCATCAAATCTCCAACAGATTCCTGGAGATACAAAGAAAGTAAACTAATCACTCACAACGTGCTTTTCATACTGGACATTTTTATAAATTGCTCAATATTAATAAAGAATCCAGCTTTTAAATTAAAATATTCATAGCTATCATCAGTTTTTCTCATGTGGACATTTTTATTATGGCTTCACAAATAACTCAAGTGCCTTTATGAAATCTAAGAAAGAAAAATAAATGGCTGCAATCCTTTTAAAGAAACAGAGATTTGCCACGCATATAAATAGTGATGGAAAAATTATGAAAAATGCTTGTGTGGCCTAATGACTGTGGCAAATAGATTCATTAAGCACTAAAGAGTCTTAAAAACTTACTCCTCCAATTCTCTCAAAATGATGTATTCCTCTTTTGAAGTCAATTTTGTTGCCATTGAATGACCAGGAGAACGCCACAGCAATGGAGGGGTCATGAGAAACCTGGCATGGAAGGACTATGCTTTCTCCAACTGTTACATCCATGTTAGAAGGTGGAATAGTAATTACAGTCCTTTCTGTGGAAACAAAACAATTTCCTTTTTATTAAAATGCTTATAAAAATAGTAGATCTTGAATGAGCTTTGTACCATTGGCGAAATGATGTAAAATTGGCCCAGATGTTCCATAATAAAGAAGATTATATCTAATATGGTGATGACTTCAGAGCACTCTCACCCATGTGCAGCCTATTACTTCTGCAGTATCGATACGAGCACTCTGTGTGCTCTGAGAGTGAGCAGATGTCAGAGGCAACACGCTAAATTAGTCATATGTTACTCCGTAAATCCCATCGTCCGTAGATATGATTTCAGCTTAAAACGTGCAGAATTAATTATTGAGACTGTTAGAAATATACCCACAGTTCTTCAGGTTTGAAAACGCTTCCTTATAGGAAACTGCAGCAAAAACAAAATTGGCATCCATCTCCGCTTACTGTATATACAGTGAGATCTTTAATCTACATTCTTAGCAGTAGTTTACTGCGGAGTAGCTTACACTACAGCCTCAAAAAAGCTATCTCAACAGACAGAAAAAATATCTATGTAATCTTTTTTAACCCCTTAGACTGAGAAATAAAGCTGCAGATCTTATTAAGGGAACTAGTAGTTTGCTGAACGGGAAGGAAAGGGGTTTATATGGCTTCATTTTTGTTGTTATGACTGGCAGATAGATTAGAGATAACAACCACTTTGTTGTAGCAATTCCACTGAATAAAGCTTTTGTGCATGAAAATGTTATAAAATGGTGAGAATTGAGAGGCACATGAATAAAATGAGAGCAGAATCTATTCAACAGTATTAATGCGTTCCGAAAATAACATGAGAGGAGGAGAAGAAACCTTGCAGGAGTCGTATTAGTTTAGTGTTCATGCTGGCTTAACTCTATCTGTTATAAATGCATTCAAAAATTCAGAATTTTGGTTACCAAGGCTTTGGTTCCATGGGGTTGATGCATGATAGGGCATCCAACACTTCACCTTCAAGTACATTTTTGTTCAGATTGTTACCACCATTGTAGTAACCAAATAATATGTAGGCAGGCAATATGGACTGAAGCTTGATGGGCTTCTTCCCAGCATCTGACCTGCAGTGTTGGAGTGACTGTTACAGCAGTGGTCAAGAAACAGCAAGGTAGGGTGGTGTATATTCTGCCAACTTTTTGAAACAAAAATCTCCAGTTTCAATGACGTGCCTGCTGTAGATATCATACACCTTTATCAAAGGAAATCAAAGAGTTTGTCTGATTTCTATTGCTATAGGCCAATTAGGTGATTTTTTTTCTTTTGGATTCTTTTGGAATCACTGAGAAGCTGACTGTCAAAGGTCCCCATCATCTGGAGTCCAGATTTAGAGCACTTTATTACATTTCCCTGTGTATTCTGATTGCTCTTCATGCAAAACCACCATCATGGCAGATCCATCCATTTGTCTGAAGTCAAGGACTGCAGAAATGTGAAAGCCTCAGATGACTGTCTTGAAGATACTTGATCATTAAGTTAAAGCAATCTCTCCCTCTCCCTGGAAGCAGAGTGTCAGTTGCAATAAATTCCAGATGATTCAAGGGCCATACTCTCTGTTGGCACAACTCCACTGATTTCAGCACACACTGGCAAAGAACTTGGCTCCATAAATCTCAAGCACAGTAATTCCATTGTGAAGTACAGTTAACTTTTACAGAATAATGTTGAAAAGTCTCTAAGAACTACAGAAAACCTCCACAAACTTTTACTTTCCTGCTTTTATTCTCCAGCGCTTCTTTTTCCCACAGCTGAAATAGATTACCATGAAAAACACTTGAGGTAAGAACTGAAGTAATGCTGTGTACATTAAAAGAAGAAGAAAGGAAGAAAGAAAGAAAGAATTCCTTGGTATAAGATAAAAACTGGAAAGATGGTTCTGTGATAGCTGGAACTGTCCTTTGCCACCTGCAGATGGAGAAGCATGATCTGGCCCCCAAGCCCATCATGTCATCCTCCAAGGCCATCCTGTGCCAATCTCTCCATCCTTAAGCCTATAAACACTGTGCATCTTTACAATGAGCTGCTGAAGGCAAATAAGTCGGGAAGTAAAGAAACATTAATGTCTGGATAAGAGTGAATGGTTGTTATAGGCTTCAGGCCACTCAGAGAGACTCCCAGGTCGCAGATGAGTTCTCTGCTGACTGCTATGAACTGCTGCTGGTGTTTTATCTGTCCTGCTTAAAGATGACATGAGAATGCCTGATCTGCGTTGCATTGGTGGCAGCCTGAAGGTACCCCTGAATTCTGCCACCACAGTGAAGCTCCAAACCACAGCACCTACTCCAGGGATGAAATTCACTTTGTTTGCTTTGGTCCATTAAGCTTTAATAAAGCTTTGCACCACTATTGAATTTTCCATGTCAAATACTCCCTATCCTTCAAACTCCTCTTTAAAATACCTGCCCTTCACAAGCCCCACCTCACCTCTGTTGCCAGAAGAGTTAACACTACCTCAATTTGTAACTCCTACTTCTGTGCACTGGATGGCTGGTCACCAAGATTGGTGCATTTTAACTCTTCTGCTATGCACTGTGTACAATTACAGCAGTCTATAAATAAGTAAAACACTACAAATGAAATCAATTTTATTTCTATGGAAAAGTTGGAGCAAAACTAAGCAAGAATGATAGCAACAGGATTGCATAGAATTTATAATCAGATTCAACAGTTATGTTCTGAAATCCACAGAATACAAATAGAAAATGGTGCTCCATGCAGTAAAATGTTTAAGACTCCTCCAGAGTCAACGGGGCCATCAGTTTGCTGGGTGGGAACTTTTTGAAATTTTTTTAATCAGAAAGTTCCAAAATTATTCTGATTGCCTCTTAAGGTCACTGACATTATTTCTTGTGCCATTTGATCGTACTTCCAAGAGATCTGAAATGAGATAAATGCAATCCTGTTATGAAACAGTATTAGATGAATTGAAAATCCCAGAGATCATGTTAAAACCTATTGAATTCCTCCTTTTTAAGAGTTTTTTAGGAGTGCTAGCAAAAAAAACCACCCTATTTTGTTATAAGATTATCATCCTGTTGTGTCTTCTGTTCTAGCCTGCTCATAACCAGTGGCATCGCTGATGCAGAGTTGTTCACTTGTGTGTTATTTTCTGCTTCCTTTATGGAGCTGTCTTTAAGACGACCACCTCAAATACTTTGAAAAGCCTCTTACAGGCTCACGGCTCTACATTATCTATCTATCTTGTTTAGCAACTTCAGATGTGTATTAAATGGCAAGACCCATTCCAAAGGAGAAAACAGCTAAGATGGTGCGAGTGCTTGAGGTATAATAAAGATTTCTCACACAAAGAATAAACAACTCAATGAGCAGCAATAAACTTAATTTGCACATTAGATATGCTTTTCCAAGTTCTGACATTTCAGTTGAAAATAATGCTGAAGCAACGAGGCCTATAATTGAACAACCAAAACTTCTCCAGAGGGGAAACAAAAACAAATGTTCCCTGCAAACAAGATCAGTTTTATAACATGTTGTTACTCAGTGTTTTAATAAACTTCCTAAATGCCAAACAAAATATTTTTTTTCATTTTTTTTTAAATGGGATTTTTTCATATTGCTCCATTAGGATGTATACGTGGGGTAGCTGTAATGGTGTCGAACTTCAATGAAAACAGAGCCACCTTAACCCTAAAGTTCTTGGTGTATTCAGGGCTAGTTGTGCTGTAACATCAGCTCAGATTACACATTGCAATGCATCAATGTTAATTGCTCTTTTATAGTATGAAAACATACTATACAGTAGGTCAGGAAGAAGGACGTTCCTGCAGGCTAGAGTAAATATTCTGAATTCATTGAAAATGAAAATATTAAGAAAAAAGGCAGTTACAAACTGCATGTAATAATGTGCTCTCCTTGTAACTGCAATCATTAACGTTAGCTCTTTTGCAAAACTGAAATATGTTTACTACAATCTCACAAGTTCCACACTTTAACTTTTCTTTCTCATTTAAAATCAACAAATATGAATACTTGCATAAGAAAATATCAGTACTGAAAAGATCATGCAGGAAAAAAGAGAAAGAAAAGACACTGTTTGCCTTAGTTTTCCTTCTTTTCTTCCCCTCATTGATCAGACATCAGAGGATACAGAGCACAGTCATTACAAATGCTGCTCACAGGAACAGCTACACAAACAATATCTCTTTTTATGTCCTTCAGCTCTGGACTGGCCCACCTGAGAGATAAGTTTGTACTAGCACTTTTTACTAATGGAGATGGACCATCCATCAGTGCTGCAAAAACTTGAAGCAAAAGGCTGCTTGGATGTAATAGACTTCAATGTTTCCCACAATGCATTTATCTGTGTTTCAAAGAAGGGTGGAAACTGCTGCAGGGAGGTAACCCGTGTGGAGCAGCACTGCCCTGGAGCACAGCCAGGGTGTGAAGTCACACCAGCAGCCCCATTGCAGCCCCTTATAACTGCCCATACTGAGAACCTCAAAGAGATGCTCTCTCTGTAAGGGTGCCAAAATAGCACCCAGCAGCTGAGTGGGTGGCTTCAGATCTGCAGGGATGCAACAAATGCAACACAAATGACACATACCTGTGTCATGATGAAGGAAATAAAAGCACCTAATACTCAGGTTAATTCCTAATGCCTTATTTCATTTTACACCCATTTTATAGTCTCTTCTGCAGGCTCAAATGTGACAGAAATTAAAAATGAGCAGAATAAACGCATGCAACAGGGGCATCATATTGGACCTGTGTTGTGCTAACCTCAGGATGCCCGATGCCTGCAACTTCTAAATAGTACTGCAGTGCAAAACATCACTATTAATGTTACTGTGCATTTCAGTTGGTATCTTGGGAGACCTCTCTGATAATCACACTGATCTGCTGTGGTCATGAGGTTTCTTTGCTACAGACATCGCTTGTTTTCAGCTGTAAACTGCAAGGAAAAACCTCTCAACAGCAACAGTGATTGGTATAGCCTTTGAGCATCCCAGCAAAACAAAACAAAACCCCACACTTTCTACTATTCACAAAGCACAAAGGAATATACTAAAGTACCTTTCACAATCAGGTTCCCTGAATTTCTGGCAACTCCAAACTGATTTGTTGCTATACAAGTGTACACGCCAGCATCTGATTTGGTGATGTTGTAGAGCCTGAGACTGCCATCCTCCAGTAAGAGAGCCCTGGGAAAACAAACAAACAAGCAATAAAAGAAGAATAAGAAAAAAAATCTTCTGTTACAGGAACTGCAATAAAAATGCAATCCTTCTTTTAATATTTAAATGCTTCCATTATGTTTCTTTTCTCTTTTACAGCAAGCTGGATATGCAGCAACTAATTTTCACCTCTGCTTGTTATTGATTTCTATATTGAGAATGTTATATTGACATACTGGAATTGACCATTAACTTATCCAGATCGCTTGTAGTAAAATTAGGAGTCTCAAGAGAAAGAAGGAAGACCCAACTTTTTATCTAATTGCCCTGTATTTTACCATGGGGGGCTTTCTTTCCAGATCCCAATGCTGAGATGCTATACTAATGTTATGTCTGAGGCCAGCTGCCTGTGCAATTTTGTCAGGATTATTAAAAGACATTAGCAGAGTAGCTAAGATGCTGAAATGCCATCTCACAAGCCAAGGAGCCAAATCAAATACACTGTTGTCTCCCAAGGCCCTCAAATCACCTTGTTAGTCACTATATTGTTCACATAAGTTTGCAGAGGATTGGGTAAATTGCATTTAATAGTAATTTCAGAACCACTCCTGAGTTTTGAGGACAAAATTAATTTTTAAGCTTGTTTACATGCTTCTTCATGTCAATGAGACACCTTTCGGATGCATGCCAGCAAAGTGCTCAGCGTGAATTTTCTGTAGGTAGTTTTCTGTAGGTAGGCTTTCACATTAGGCCTGGGACCTCTTCCTGTTACATATGGGGACAACAATTCACAACTCAGGGATTTCTTTCGTGAATATACAGAAATGGAATCGTTAGGCAATGAGCTTTAGGTCAGAATGACATTATTCCATAAGATTTTCTCAATTCGATGTCAGTTCTTCCATCCAGCTGTTTCTCTTGGTAGATGTTGAAGCTTTTGATAACGTTTTGAGTTCAGAAGGACAGTGGGCTGAAAGATCCTTGAATCTCATGAAGATGGGTTCAGGGTTTCAGTGCACAGCCTTTCCTGCTAGTAAGGCCTCTGTGTGTGCACACTCCTTAGTAGGCATCAGAGAATCTGCACTGCACAGGGATGAGCTGCACTCAGACATCACGCTTTGCTGGATCTGACAGAATGCAGACGTAAGTCATAAATCCCCAGGAAAAGATGTTTCATTCATTCCAGTGCTCACAGAAGCACTGCATTATTCTTTTATATTCCCCTTTTAATTGACATTTAAATCTAACACAAGAATTCTTTTATAAAAAGAAAATATCTAATTCATGCATCACAACTTGGGTATTTAATATTTATTACTGACAACATAAGATTGGATGATGCAATGAATTATTAAAGGAAATGAACAATAACAAGAGCAGCAGTTGAAGCTGGCAGTACTATCATAGCTGTTAAATCACAAAAACCATCACAGCACCTTTCTGTATTCCTCTCTTGTATTTACATGCTTGTAGCTATATGCATAACACACATCAGGCCTTGTTCTTCTTCCCATTACCTGTTTTCAGCCTCAGCTGAAGAAGTGCCAGATGTGGGTTTCAGAACCTGTCCTGGAGCAATGGGGCCAACCCATCCTGCACTGTGCCAAGGATGCAGAGTGGGGGCTGAACAGAGGTGATGTAGTGCCCACCTGATGAGTGGTGATGAGGGGAGAGGAGCTGAGAGGAAAAAGGATTCAGGTTGGAATGAAAAATCTTTGTTACCTTGGCAATAATCACCACTACTGCAGTGGTTGCTCGCCTGCAATTTGGAATATGATGAGAAAATAAGTTGGGCTTTAATAATATATCCATATTAAATTGGAGAAGAGCAATGAAGTACACTCTTCAATATAACGATGACTCAACCAAGTAACATTTTCAGATATGGATGAACAAGCAAGAAAGAATTTAACCTTTCCACTGGCATCACAATGCTGTGCATCAAACCGGGGGCTAGGAGTGCATCTCCTTGGTGCCCTGGTTGGCTGATGTATGGTGGCTTTATCATATAGCACCAACAGGTACTCAGATGTGATCAGCAAATGTTCACAGATTGGATACCTGATGTATAAGCTATCATGAGCCAGTACAGTGTCTGTCTCACCTCCAAATGCTGACGCCCTGTTATTTTAACTGCAGCTGTATGTAAAAGCATTAGGCACAAACTGGAATCTAGAAGTGGGAATGAGGAAAAGAAGACAATGCCAGTCCCCAAAATCTTATACTGTAAATATCTGGGAAAAACAGTCTGAAGAAATGCAGAATAATAAAGGAAGAAACTTTGAATGCACAAGCTCTGTGCTGAGTCCTCTACGGATTACTGGTTATGGTTTTTCCATGGAAGTTTAGTGATGCCTGGCTCAGATTTCTTTTTGTGTATTCTTTGTTAGGAGCTGGGATCTGAATAATTCACAGCTTTGTGGTTTACCCACTACCAGGGGTTGATACTCCAGTGCTGACAAGGCAGTGTTTGATCTGTAGAATTGTTGTTCTGAAACAATACTTCCACAACTCGGCGAGTTGAGATAGAATGGTTCTTTCAATGGATCAAAACAGAGCTTGGCAGAGATGAGCCAGGAGCTAATAAAAGCTCCAGAGCAGTGTGAAACCTGGCAGAGGTCACGTTACCTGAAGACAATTAGAGAGATAGTAGTACATATGATGCTTGGGCAGAATTTATGTAAAAGCAGAATGGAATCTGGAGTAATTGGCTGGCAGAGAAGAGAATTAAAGCAAAACAAAGAAAAAAGTAATTTACAGATGTACTGAGGTCTGTGTCAAGAGAGGGATGAGAAAGCAAAGCACAGCAGAAAATCAACATGATGCGTTTTGAATACAAGGGAAAAAGCTCTATGAAACACTGACCCCATTGCCACGTACAGCAAAGTTGCCATAAGGTTCCTCCAAGCCATGACTTTATGCTGTGGGTGGGTTCAGAGGGGCTTCACTTTGTCCTCTTCCATTTGTCTTTCAAATTACAGCACTGCGCTTCTGACCGCGATGGGAATGTTTCCTTTAATGGGCTTCGGATCAGGCTCTAACAAACAATTTAAGAAGAAGCTGTGAAATGCATGTCTCACCTGCTGAAAGGCTTGCTGAAAACCGCTACTTTTCACAACATTTTGCACTGTGTGAAGGCTATGGATAATAATTCTTACCACTTGCATCGGGAGACAAGGTAATTTCAAGTAATGAGACAAGATAGAAAAGTTTAACATGTTGGATAGAATGCCAGTGGAATATTTTCTCTGCCAGGAAAATGGGACTTTACTCAGTGAGCAAACAAGGGTTTGCCAAGGGACAAAAGCTGAAAGGTCTGCAGTGAATCTGGTGAATGTGTCCCTGCTATGGAGGAGGAAATGCAATGAACTGCTTGAGACACAGCTGCTCATGAAGTCCTGCTGCAGCAAGGGATTGCTTGGGCAGAAGCCTAAGTCTAAACTGGCATTTCTGAGTTACAAAGTGCTTAAGTACTTAACAGAGTGCTCTAATGCTGGTATTTCTGCCTGAATTATGCAGGTTCTATCTCTGGGTAAATAGCTCAATCAAGCAAAGATGCTATGAGGAAAAGACGAATAGAAAATTCAGTGATACAAACACATAGAAAGTTCCAGCACACAAGGGCTGGTTGGAAATACTCAGAAATATCATTCCCCATGTAACAAGCCTGGGAACCTACCCCACAGAGGTGGATATGGTGGATGAAGTTTGCTTCCAGTGGATCATAAGAACATAAGGTAGCCATAAAGCCCAGTTCCAGGACACAGCTCTCCAATTCCGCAGCCGTTCCCATGGAAGAGGTGAGAGCAGGGACTCACAGTTCTGTCCCAGCACCAGGTGGGCTGCAATGCAGGTTTGGTTCCAGCAGCAGTGCCTTTCCAAGAAGGATGAAAACCACCTTCAAGAGGGGATCCAGAGCTCCTTGCATTTCTGTCAACCTTCAATCACGCAGCAGTCTGGGAGAAGTTTCTCCCCAGTTTATTAAGCACAGTGATGTCCTTTTGTTTGTTTTTAATCTACTAATTTCATGGGATTGATCCGTGTCCTTGTCCTCCTTGAGTGACTCCATTAACATGCAAGATAAGTGCAGAAGTGAGAAGGGAAAACAAACAGGAGACTCAAGAGTCAAAACTCTGTCATGTTCAAAAAGAAGAGACTGCAATGCTTCTGCAGAAGACACGAGACTGGGAAGAAGTGAAAGCTCATTAAAATTGTCACACATACTTTTTAGGTAAAGAACTTGAGAAATCAGGCAGGGACGATAGATACAGCTTTTAATTAACCAGGCCAAACAAACCATCTCTGAAAGCGTTGCCTCATGTGAACAAAAGATTGTTGATGGCTATTTGCTTTGATCTTAAGGGCATGAAAGAATAATATGTATTTAACAAGGCTGATAGAAAAATAAAATCTGAGAAAAGAAAGAGGTGTCAACTCATTAGATTTTAAAGAGCAGCAGAGGTAATTTTGCACACAGCTGTATTGTTCAGCCAATCCATGTTAGAGAGGTACAATTCTAATTCATGGATGTGAATTGCATTAATTCAATACAGCAAAGGTCTTTGAAATCCCCATCAAAATCAGTTGAGCTGCATTGGTGTAATAGCAGGGGTGATTCAAACCTATGCCTGCAGATATCAGCGCTGCCAGTATTATAGTTATCTCTTCAAGGGCATAAAATAATTCCTCTCCAAATAAAGTAACCCTGATACTTGATGTACAGATTCACCCTTCTTTTCTCCTGTCTGCCTCCAACATCAAGTGTCTGACACCTCGTAATGTTATTGAAGCCATCATTGTGGCACTGTGCAGATAAAAAGGAGCACGCTGGATCTGATGAAATCAGAGGCAAAGTAATTTTTATTATCTGAGAGATCCTATTTGTAACTATATCTTCTCAGTCTCACTTTGGTGCTCGAGAGCAAAACCACTCTTGATTTCATAGGCTCTGAAAAGCCACATTGTTTATACATTTCTAGCGGGTATGCCAGCAGTCACCGAGACAATAACTGACTCTTCCAATCTTG